ATGGGAGGAGGCTCTGCTGCTCACTGGCTGTACTGTAGCCCAGGAGGATCATGGGAGGAGGTGCTGTGGCTCACTGGCTGTACTGTAGCCCAGGAGGAGTAGGGGGAGGGGTGGGGGGTGGGAGAGAGTACTGTGGCTCAGTGGCATCACACTAGAAAGTGGGAGACCCAGAGTCTGAGTGCCAGAACTGCTAAAATAAGAAAAATAAAACTCCACCAGAGCAACCCAACATACATTCATTGAAACACACAACTACTCTAGAATTTAAGAGACAATACAGAAATACATATCACCAATTCAGTGTAGAATTTAATATAATAACAATATTATCTAAGTCAGAAAATCAGGAACTCTTGAAAAGTTAGGGACCATGGGGATTAAACCAGTATTAAGTAGATTGAGTTTAATTTTCTTACTAACATCTATGTAACATAATCTACTATCTTTGAAATAAAATATTCAAATTCAATTTGAACAACTTTTTAATTTAAATGTTACTTTTGAAACCAAATTTAAGTCTGATTTAAAATGTAATTAAAATTTAAAATAAAGTTGCGATCTCTGATAGAAGGACAAGTGTCTAATATTTGTATCTTGCATATAAGATTAAGAATTCAACAAGCATTCCATTCTAAAGAGAAATAAATTAATAATTTACTTTTAGTAAGGGAACATACCAATTCTTTTACTCTGCTCTTCTCTAGATTGAAGTTTAATTTGGTATCTGTCCGGACCTTGAGGACTTCATCCTGGTCAAAGGGCAGGGGACAAAGAGAATGGAAAAGCCAGTGTAAGCAATCTGGACTTCCTGAGGGCTTGAACTGGGGACTGCCTGCTGTCTATCCCAAGGGAGCCAGCCCAGGAGGGGCATGGCAGAGGCCTCGGAGACAGGGACTCAGGACCAACCATCTCTTAAGCCAGCTCGGTGTCTGGCCTTCCCAGTTATCTGCCCAGCTAATGCCCTCTGACCCAAACATCAGCCTGAGAGGCCCAGCTGTTTTAACCTCGAGACTCTCATGACCTCCCTCATGGAATCTGTGAATAAAATTCTTTAGAACATTTTCGGAAGCAAAGATGGACCAAAGGACAAATATTCAACTCTGGTTACATAAAGCTTTCTCACTAAAACTAAAATATTTTCTAACACCACTGTTCTTTCCTACTTTACAAAGTGACCATCTGGGTGAGCAATCATCTAAACCCATGTGGAATCCTACAAAGCCACCCTCTCCCAGAAGGGTCTCAGGGACCCACATGGCTGCTTTACAACTGTTTTGATTTATAGTCACTTAGTCAGGCCTGGAGGCAGAGGCTATCAAGTCCAGCACTCAGGAGACACAGGAAAATGGCGAGCTGGAGTTACACACATTGAGACCTATCTCAAGAGAGAAATACACCCTCCTACAACACCATTTCCTTAATGAATGTGGCCACAGACAAGGGTAACTGATACAACACCTGATATGTGCTTTGAAATATATTACACAAATTCTAGGGATGTGTTCTCCAGCACACAGAATGTACATGTGAGATCTTATCTATTAATGAACGTATATGATTATATATATGCCTGAGGACAGGAAGGAACTTACCATCACTTGCTGTTTTAGCTGATGTAGTTCAAGTTTTATTTTCTAAAAACAGAGTAAAGAGAAAAAGTCAAGGACACGTGTCAGTTAGAGGAAAACATCAATCAAACATCACAGCAAACATTCAAGCGCAGGTTCACTAACCTCCTCATTTACCACGCATGGACTATACTCAGAACACAGAACTACTTGAGCTGGCTTCCGTGGTGTAGTCTCCAATCTCAGCATTGGGGACACTGGGGCATAAGGGCTGTGCAATGAATTTGAGGCCATCCTAGGCTACGTACTGAGCAGAACACTAGCCTGGGCTACTTAATAAGACTCTGACTCAAAAAACCAAAAACCCAAACAACTAAACAAACAAATGCTCCATTTATAGTCATCCCAGGATGCATGAGTAACTGGGAATCCAGCCTAATTCCCCGTGTGGATCACATCAACTGAGGAACAACTGTGGCACATATTTGCCCTAAAGGACCCCGTTTTCTTTTTAATTCCTCCTTGGCTTTTCCTTTCAACCAATTCTGCCCTCTACAAGCTGAGTTCAAAGTCAACTGTGTGAGTTCCCCAGACAACAAATGACTCCCTTACAGGACTGCAGTGAGATTGAAGATGAAAGCAAGATGCAAAGAAGCACTTCCCTAAGTCATACACCACACTTTAGAGAGGCAGAAAGTGGGCTGGTGGAATGGCTCAGTGGGTAAAGCACTTGTCTTGCAAGCCTGAAAGCCTGAGTTCTAATCCCAAATTCCACAGAAAGATAGGAGGAGAGAACCAGCTCCACAAGGTCGTCCTCTGACCTCCACAAGCATGCTGTGGAATTCATATATGCACATGCACACACATCCATTGTACACACATGTAACAAAATAATCAGGAGCTAGAGAGATGGCTTAGTGGTTAAGAGCACTTATTGCTTTTATAGAGGACCCAAGTTTAGTTCCCAGCACCCACACAGCAGCTTACAACCATCTGAAACTCCAATTCCAGATGATCTGACACCTTCTTCTGGCCTCTGTGGGCAGTGCATGCAAGTAGCCCACAGACATACATGCAGGCAAAACACCCCTAAACATAAAAAAGCTTAAAAAGAAATATTTACTTATGTATTTATTTTTGGTAGGGAAGGTATATTTTATAGATCTATCTATTCCTAACCCTGCAGACTGGGGGAAAAGAAAATCCTAATATCCACTATACTAGGATGATCTGCATAGTAGTAAAATGCTATAGACAATGGAAACAAAAGGTTCTGTTATTGCAAGGCACACTGTATGCATCCATCAAACAGAAGACTTATAATGGGTAAAACCAGTGGAAGACTAAATCAGCCAGGGCTGCTTTCCTCTTGAGAGGAGGTACTGGAAGGGGCCTGGGCAGGATCTCCAGTGCTAACAATGTTCTCATCTTGATGCACTCAGCAGGGCAAAACCTGACCAGTCGCTGTGAGTAATTTTCTTGTGCCCTTCTAGGTGTGTGTGTAGCTCAATGTCTTAACAGAGAATGTTACAGAGTGACTGTGCAGTTTTACCTCATTTTCTGTTCTGAGGGCTGAGAACTCACTCTTCTCCAAGATGACCATATCTTTTTTCACATTAGCAATCTGAGACATTATTTGCTGAAGAGTGATTTCCTAGAAACAGAGAGAAACAAACATGATCTCTAGTCTGACCCCTAAATCCACTTCTCCTCACCTCCATCTACTAAGACGGCTATAAGGAAACTGGAACAGTGGGGGTGAAGAGGGTTTGGTGAGGGCAACCTCTGCTCCAAAGTGAGAGAATAAGGAGAAGGACACTCATGGAAGAGATTGCACTCGGGAACACAATGCTGTCACCTACAGCTCTGGCCCCATCTCCAGTCATTAACATGAGTGTGCCTGAACAGTCATGTTGACATAGTGAGCATTCAAGCAAGAGCCTATAACAACTAACTAAATGGCTTTGATGAAGTATTTTTGTTATGATTCTTACCTCTGAATTATGGTTGAAATTACCACACGCTTCTCAGCAGAACAGTATCCGAGAAGCTGCTTGAGTATTTATTATGAGTAATATTCTGCTTGCAGACTTCCAGTGTGCCAATCCACCCTGCCCACCTTACCTGCTGCACCTTGGTGACCATATCATTGTAGACGATATCCATGCTGGTGTCTGTGATCTTGACCAATGCAGATACAATGATTTCTGCTTGTTGAGTGGTAAACCCTAGGCAAGCACACAGAAACAAACAATCGGACTCAGAAGAAAAAAAAAAAAAACAGACAAAGACGTGGGGAAAACTGGCAAGTTTCTGTGAAGGCCTGAATTCTGAAGGAAGAGGAAAGGATGGCATAGCGGGAGAGGGACACAGACTTGCAGGCTGTGACGCTGCCACCCTGACCAGAAGGAAACAGCCAAGTGTGCTTCAGTGGCTGGATTCATCAGCAATCTCTAACGCCGTCCTCAGGTTCCAAATCAAGAAAAGCACAACATTTGTGCTTATCAAGACAACTTTATATTCCACCCCCATCTCTTTTCTCTTAAATTCTAGGCTGAAAGACATTTTGGTGGAAAAGGCCTGCTGTTTCATTAGAAGAGAAAAGCTGAACAAACTATTACAGTGTCTGGCCATTTTCCCAAAGTCCACTATGTACATTATTGCATTTAATATCCAAAGGGATCTATGGGAGTCTTCTTAAGTCTGTGGTACAGATGGGCAGACACACAGCAGCTGAGGAGGTGGGGCTTCTTTTTGTTGTTGTTGTTTTTGTTTTGTTTTGTTTTTTGAGACAGGGTTTCTCTGTGTAGCTTTGGAGCCTATCTTGGCACTCGCTCTAGAGACCAGGCTGGCCTCAAACTCACAGAGATCCGCCTGCCTCTGCCTCCCGAGTGCTGGGATTAAAGGCATGTGCCACCAATGCCCGGCTTGAGGAGGTGGGGCTTCTACAGCTACCCAGAACCAGGGTGTCTGTCTGCCCAACAGAGGCCGCTGTGCCCACCTAACACAAATTCGTATACCTGGGTAAATAAACTCAGTGAAGTAAACACAGACATGTTTATTTCAAAAGCATACTTTATGTTAATTCAAAACCTGGTTTTTAGGATATATGTGCCATATAACAGAGAACCGAGGCAGCATATTTCTCTGAATATTAATTGTAAGATCCTATTCTGTGTCCCAAGTATACTTTCAGTGACCGGCATTTGTGTCAAGGCAACCTTTGGGGTCTGTGTGTGAGATGTGTGCCTGAGTATGTGGAATCTGGGGTGGACAGCTGAGGGTCTTCCTTAGCCACTGACACCTTATTTTTCTTTTACTTTATTTTTAATTTTGTTGAGGTAAGGTCTCCCACTGGGCCTGGAGCTTGCTGATTCAGGTAAATGGGCTGGCTAGCAAGTTCTTTAGATCGTTTTTGACTCCCCCCTGGTGCTGGGATTACAGGAACATCATGATGCCTGGCTGTTTACGTGGGTGCTAGGGATCTGAAGTCAGGTGAGGAGAACTTGCTGTTCTTCCGGAGGATCTGAGTTTGGTACCCAGCACCCTTTACAGGCAGCTTACAACTATCTGTAACTCCAGCTCCAGGCGATCTGATACCCGCTTCTGGCTCCTGAAGGTGCTCTCCCCACATAAGTAGATAAAAATAAAACAAATCTTAAAAATTAGGAAACGGGGATGGAGAGATGGCTCAGCAGTTAAGAGCACTAGCTGCTATACCACAGGACCTGGGTTCAATTCCCAGCATCTACGTGACAGCTCACAACTGTAACTCCAGTTCCAGGGGATCGACACCTCACACAGACATATATGCAGACAAAATACCAATGCACATAAAAATAAAAAAATATTTTAAAAAATTAAAAAAAGAAAAGGAAAAAACCCAAATAATAACAATAATAAAACCCATAATCCCAAACAGGACCTATAAAATGGCTTCCAGCTTAAAGGTGCGTGGTGTCAGACTGATGACATGAACCCACACCATGGAGGGAAGAACCAACTCCTGCAAGTTGTCATTTGACCTCTCCCCAGCCACAGTAAATATACGCAAAAAAACAAAATAAAACAAATCCAACCCTCCCTCCAAAACACCCAAAATACAAAACAAAACAACAAAACACCAATAAATCTCAAATAAGCAAAAATGTACTGTCTTTTCCAGAGAGAAACTGTTAAGAGCTTTCCATTGTATTGATAAGAGTAAAAAAGCCACCTTAATCAAGGCAGGGGACCAGGGAGCAGTTCAACTCACAGGCTTGTATCCAGCAGGCACTAAGCTTTGTTCTGGAGCCCTGCAGAAACTGTGTACTGAGGTGGTCTGTAATCCCAAGGAGAGGCGGGGTATCAGAAGCTCAAGGTCACTCTCAGCTATACATTAAGTTCCAGGCCAGCCTGGGGTATATAAGTACTTAAGTGTATCTCTTAAAAAAGTCCTCAAGCCAAGAAAACAAAATGTGAACTTAAAAAGAGGCTAACTCTCTGTCCTAGTTAGCTTCAGCTGTCAAATTCCACACACCTGGGAAGAGGAAGCAAACTTAACTGAAGAACTGCTTCCATGACCCATGGGTATGTCTGGGGGGGGGGGGGGATCTTTCTGAATTGCTAACTGATCCAAGGGGACCAAGCCAACCGTGGGCAATGCCATCCCTGGACAAGTGGGGCTGAGCAATTTAAGAAAGCGTGCTGAGCAGGCCCATGGAGTAAGCCAGTAAGCAGAACTCCTCCAGGGTCTCAAGTTCAGTTCCTGCCATACTTCCCTCAATGATGAACCTAACATGTAAGGCAAACAAACCGTTTTGTCCCCCAACTTGCTTCGGTTATGGTGCTTACAACAGCAGCAAAGAGCTAATGAAAACACCAACCAAAAGCTTCCTGAAGGCTGAGAAGTCGAAAGAGAAAAACTGGAAAGGAAGCAAAGCAAAAGAAGTCACCGAGAGCTGCTCAGATCCAAGGTGCAGCCAAAGACTGGGGGATGGGGGTGGCGGGGGTGGAGCGGGGTTTACCATTTGCTTCAAGTAAGCACACCAAAGCGTGGGTGTCAAAGTAGAGTTTTCGACTCACAGAAGGGGGCAAGTTCCCCTTTCTCTGCTCCAGCTGCCGGCACTCAGCGGCCAGGCTTAGATCTAGAAGGCAAGAGAAAGGAAGCAACCATCAGTCTGAGCAGGAAACAAGCCACTCAATGCTACAGGCTATGTCTCAAGACCTCCGCAACCCGCCTCATTTTTACACCAGAATCCACACATACAATGTAACCAACCCATTTCATTCATAGAATTTAGTTGTTTCTTAAATATTTAAGAGTCTGCACTCATCTCCATAGTCAACTTTCTCCATCCTGATTAGAAACTGCACCCTTCGGCCAGTACTCCATCTTGTCCTTACCATCTCAAACAGGGTCTCACTCTGCAGTTCAAACTGACCAGGAGCAAACTACAGGGCCCCAACTGGTTTCAAATTTACAGTGATACTTCTGCCACATCCCAGGACTGCAGTCTTGAGCTACCACACTCAACCCTCTTCCCCACTCTCCACCACTGCTTAGACGAGCAGAAATCTGTTTTCCTTCCTACTGTCTGCCTACTCCGTAGATTTCATATGCATGGAGTCATACAATGAGGTCTTGGCATTATGGTCAATGGTCATCCACGCTGCAGACATGCCAGCACTTTATTTCTGTGTCACGGAATAGCAAGCCACTGCCCAGCAATCCCACACTTCATACATTCCATAGCTGAAGGATGTATGCTGTTTACAGTCCATGGCTCTCATGAGTGACCCTGTGGCCACTGTTTCAGTTCTCTTGCGTATGTCCCTTGGAGCAGAACTGCAGGGTCATTTGGTAGCTGTTTGTAGAATTGCCAGATTTTTTTCCCCAAGTGGCATCACCAATTTTCTTGTTTACCTGCGACTAAAGAGGCTCCCAATTTCTCCACATCCTCACTGATACTTGCTATGATGTTTGTTTTATAAATTATAACAACCCTCATGGGTACAAATAGTATCTTGTGGCTTTCCCCTGCATTTCTCTCTTATCTAACAACGCGGGCCATCTTCTCATATGCTTACTGGAAATCTGAGTATCTTTGAAGGAATGTCTAAGGCCTTTGTCTACTTAAAAAAAGTATTTATAGTCAGGTGTGGTGGCACACACCTTTAATCCCAGCACTTGGGAGGCCTAAGCAGGGGGATTTCTGTAAGTACAAAGCCTGGTCTACACTGAGAGTTCTATGACAGCCAGAGCTACTTGGAGACCCTGTCATAAACAAACAACTCAACAACTCAGCTGTAAGTCACCCCATGTGGGTGCTGGCACTAACCTCAAACTCACATGCTCTAGATCAGCAAGTGCTCTTTTTTTTTTTTTTTTTTTTTTTTTTTTTTGTAGAGTTTCTTTGTGTAGCTCTGGCTGTCCTAGAACTTGCTCTGTAGATCAGGCTGGCCCTGAATTTACAGAAATCCACACCTGCCTCTGCCTTCCAAGTGCTGGGATTAAAGGCATCAGCTATCATGCACAGCTTGCTCCTAACTATTGAGCCATCTCTCTAGCTTCAATTGGACTTTTATCTTTCTTATTGGACTGAATCATTCTTCATATATTCTAAACACAAGTTCTTTATCAGACTATTTGCAAATACTTCCTTCTATTATCAATTAGTTAATATTTTTATATTATATGTATTTTTATACTTTGAACTTCTGAAAAGTTTTTTTTTGGGGGGGGGTTTGAGACAGGGTTTCTCTGTGTAGCTTTGGAGCCTATCTTGGCACTCATTCTGTAGACCAGGATGGCCTCGAACTCACAGAGATCTGCCTGCCTCTGCCTCCCAAGTTCTGGGATTAAAGGCGTTTGCCACCAATGCCTGGCCTGAAAAGTTCAATTTTGATGATGTCCAAATAACCTATTTCCCCTTCTGCTGTTTCTACTACTGATGCCATGTGTAAGAGACTATTGGTAATCCAATGTGTATCAGGACTGACACCATGTTTTCTTCTCAAAGGTTCCCAATGTTAGCTCTTACGTTAAGGCCTATGATCCATGCAGAGTTATGTATGGCATGAAGTAGCCTCGCTGTTCTGTATGAAGACAGCTAGTTGTGCCAGCACCATTTTCTCTAAGTCCTATCATCCTGGTGGAAAGTCAGTTGACTGTGTGAAGGTTTACCTCTGGACTCTCCATGTATTTAATTCTCCAGAACATGTGTCCTCATCAGGAAGTAGATTCTGTTCTGGGCTATTATATATGAATTTTAGGATAAGTATGCCTAATTTTTTTTTTTTTTTTTTTGCAAAGAAGAGGTTCTGAGATTTTTGAGGATTGCATTCTGTGACTCAATTAGGGAGTACTGTCATCTTAGTAATATAGTATTCAAATCAATAAACACGAGACATCTTTCTGTTGATTTAGGTCTTTGATTGCTCTAATTATGTTCTATAGTTTTCTGTTTCTGAATGTGTGCTTTGTGATCTTTCTAAGGTCTTTCAAATGCCCCTGGAATGCAACTGTTTCGCTTTTACTTTCAAACTATATTCTACAGGTGTGCCTTTTGGACTTTTCCTGGTAGTTCAGGGCATCCCTAGCATTTCCACAACCAAGGTCACATCATCTGGGAGGGAGAGCTTTACTTCTGCTTTCCAGTCAGGATGCCTATTGTTTCATTTTCTTATCTAACTGCCCTGGCTGGAACTTGCCAAAGGGCAAGGCTGGACCCTGATCTGGGAAGGAAAATTCAGTCTTTCTTCCTCGTATCTAAGCCGGTTTTGAAGAAATTTTTTAAATCACTTAAAATCACAGACAGCTCACCTCCCTTCCCTGCCAGTTTTGATCTCACTATGTAGCCCAGGTTGATTCTGAACTCAAGAGCCCCTTCTTCTGCCTTCCAAGTTCTGAGATCACAGATCCAACCCATCCTGTAATCTTATTTCAAGGTCTTCATCTAATGCAGAAAGCAAAGCACACTGCAATGTTTCCCTGGCTTATTGTGCTTCACCAACCACTAAAAGTTTTGTTTTGTAATTAGAGTAACATTTGGGGGTGGGGAGACAGGTCTCTCTACGTAGCTCTGGTTCTTCTGGAACTCTATGTAGACTAGGCTGGTCCTGAACTTACAGAAATCCTCCTGCCTCTGCCACCTGGTACCACCAATTTGTGTGTGTGTGTGTGTGTGTGTGTGTGTGTGTGTGTGTGTGTGTGTGTGT